AGGGAGTTTATTTTATGATTTATCACTGTATTAAGTTAACCAACAAGGAGAGTTTGTTGAAATATATATATTTCACCAAATTTATTTATACACCTTGAGCTTGTTTATGTTTTGTTACATTATACATGTCAATGAGCAGTATTTTATCGGGATCTCAGATGATAGGCCAACAGAAAGTAGAACAAAGCCGTGAATTTAAAGCAAACATTATACAAGGTTTTCACATTGTTTTCAACCCACCTGAGTAAACGCTGTGTAGAACCATGTTGGGCTACAGCTGTTGAGTGTGTTCCTACCAGCTCTGCTTATCTAGAGGCTGAAATCTATGACCATTTTTGTTTGCAAATCAGCATCAGCTGAGTCAGGCTTGATGGTAGAGAGGGATTTTTTTCAAATCTCCCCAAAGATCTATCTAAACCATGACCTGTTTGGTCAGGTGCCTCTGTATGTCATTAATATTAGAAAAATATTCAAAAACTGTTAAAAAGTTCTAGGTTTGTGAAGCTCTTTAACCGCTTTAATAAATAAAAACAACTTCATGACAAATAAATCGTTGATACAGGTTGCAGACATTTCTATTCCATCTAATGCACTGCAGCAGACTATGTAGGCCTTAATATTTACGGCAGATGTCATGATTGCCTGGAAGGAATGTTTTATTGCTCTGACAGCCACCTCTGCAACAGGCCCCCATTCCTCCATCCAGCCTTGACCTCTCACCTAGCGCACAGGTTCCTGCCAACATCTTTTCAAACAAACAAAGCACAGAAACCAGACATAACTTTTACCCATCGATAACTCACACTTGCATTGTGCAAAGGCCCAGCCATGTTTGTTAGTGTTAGCACTCAAAATAATGATTATGCACAAAGATATCCCTTTAAAATAAAACATTTACTGCAGTAGCTACAAAAGCTAGAAAATATGTAAAAAAATACAGTTTCATTTGAGATTTAGTTTTTTATTTTGGTGAAAAGATTAAATAAATAAAATAATAAAATATATTTTCTTACTAAATCACTGAAGCCAGAGCTTTTAATAATTTCATGACCCTGCTATTAACAGTATTACAGCACTTAATCTTGTCCTTTAACATTTGGAGTAAATCTTTTCTTATTTTATCTTCATTTATTGTCTATTCTCTGCAGCTACTGACACTAATTTTTTACAGGAGTTCGGTGGTGGAAATAAGATTATAAAGATTGCCATGGAAGAAGATTGATTTTTAGTTATTATCCCCCATTTTTAGTCTACTTGTATGGTATTTTTTATTTCCCGGTATTCCTTGGAGTTTATGCTAGAAAACACTCAACAAGTTTCATTGTGCCTTTGGAAAGAAACAGGCCCAAAGAATCATTATCTTTACATTTGTAAACTTGTAATAGGAGGGTAAAATGGTAGGCCTTAAAGAAACGTTATTAGGAGATTTGATGACCCCATGATAGCACATGTTGCTATTGCTTTTGAATCCATTATTAACATATTAAGCTAAAGACACATTCCTGAAGTAACTTTCACGATTCCAATATGAACACAATAATATGCAATGACCGGTGGCTCAGCAGGAGCTTTTTATGTAAATGCCTCCCAGTGGGAAACTCTGGATTACATCTAATACAAACATCTGAAAGCTACAGTATAACTTCATTTTGCTTTTTCTGTTGATTTCCTTTTACTTTTAAATATGTGCTACATCTTTCCATTTCCTTCCGAGTCCAAACAAAACAAAAGGCCCGGGTCACTCTGAGACCATCTGTTCATCTTGAGCTACAAATCTCTCAGTAGTTTTTCCCTCAATATTCAATCAGAAAGTCTCCCAGTCTGCAGATGCTTGCAAAGAAGTTTGACACAGGGCAGAGCTCTTCTGTTTTCTAATGCTGCTTTAATGATTGTACACAGATTAATCTGAATATAGCTAAGTTGCATTAGTGGCTAATTATTGCCATCTACAAAGGAAACTTTTCTTCCATTTAATGTTCCTAACAAGAATTATGTGTTATAGCGTTCTGTTATTTAAAATTCAAGCTGTGTTTACACTCTTTAGCCCTCTTGTCCTACACTGAATCCGAAATCTGAAAAAGGAGAAAAGAAAGTTTTCAATAAAGTCTTCTGAGAGACGAACAAACAGAACCAGGGAGGATGAGCAGAGAGGAGGAGGAGATGGTGGGTGAGACGGAAACGGTCAGAGGGGTCAACTAATCAAGAGGAAGGGAAATGGGATGAAGACTGAAGGAACTGTGGGGGGAAGGACAGGGAGGTGGTAGGACTGGTGTAGAGAGGACAACTAGAGGAGGGTTACCATAAATGACTGTGAAATGAGAACCAGAGCAGGAACTGGAAGTGTGGAGCGGGAGGAAAACGTGGGTAGCAGAAGACAGCGGGAGGGAAAGGAGGAGGGGAGAGGAGGGATGAGAGTGGGGGATACCATGAAATGAATGGATTGGGGGAAGTGAGGAGAACATCCTGTAATATCCTACTGCTGCACAGAGACTGGAAGACAGGAGGGGAGCAGTTGAACATGGGACAGAGGGGATTTGAGGGAGATATAATGGAATGGGGGGGGGGCATGTCACAGGAAAAGAAAAGGATAGGCCGATGACTAGAAGTATGAAAGAAAGTGAAAGTCATTTCAAAATCCTATCAGAGGAACAGAGGCAGAGAGGTGGAGGCAAGGGGAGGTAGAAAATACATAGATATGGGTGGTGGGACTAAAAGCTCAAGGCAAACAGCAGCAGTAGGTAAGGGGAGACAAATTAAAGTCTGTGCTTAATAGACGTCGCAAAGAGGCTGGTGACCTAAATGGGCTGATAATCTGCTTGATCAGTCCTGACCTGTGATTGTCTGCCCTTCAAACACCTGACTTTTGATGGAAATTAGCAGTAGCAGGCTGAGCCAGTAACTAACTTCAGTGTGGTGGCTGTTACTGAGCAAAGGTTGCTGTTTTCAGTATCACAGGGGGGCTTCAGAATGAAGAAAAAAAGGAAAAACTTAATGTAAAGTTAGGTTATATGGATTGAGAAGTCCAAGAATTTCTGAACTTTTTTTCTTCTTCTTTTTTTTTTAAATCTATAGCTTAAAACAGTGTCATACTCTGTCAGACTTCAGAATGAGCCGAAAAACTACTGGTGTTTTAATGGAAAATAACTTAATAACAATAATTGAGCACCAAAGTATGACCTCATTCAGAAACTGAAAAACAACAAAATTTTCATAAAAAAACTAAAATTTTTACTGAATAAAAAAGGCTGGAAAAACTGAGAGAATTTAAAAAAAATTGTCAATATTTTACTTAAAAGATACATTAAGTGGTCACACCCTTTATTTAGCACAAAGTGACGGCTATGTTTGTGGGAGGCTGCCTCTTTTGCTCATCTCTTTAGCAGTAGCTAACCCCGCGACTAATCCTTTATCTTTGCATTCAGAATATTTCATACAGCTTATCTGGTGATATGCTGCCAATGTTCATCTGTGAAGCATGTCACCATACAACCAAGAAGCAAACAACAAACTACAGAGAGTTGCTCTAAATGCAGATGGGTCAAACGTCTTAGCAGCCTCTAATTGGATTAATGTCATTACGAACACGCTGTAGTATAGGTAAGTGTCTATGTGCAAACACAGAGGCATCCTCCAGCTACATGAAAGAGCATGCGTGATGGGACAAAGTATGTATGTATGCAGGGATTTCAGCTCATATGTGTGAGAACATTTCCCTTCCCCCCCATGTCCTCCTCTCTTCAGGCTCTCCAACAATTTTCTCACAGAGATCTTATCAACACTCCAGCTTGCAGACAAGGTGCAGGAACTGAAACAGCGATCGGTTGCAAGGCAACACGGAGGAAAGGAGATTGAAATGCTTGAAGAAATGTCTGAGGCGCGCTAACTATTCTGTTATACCTAGTGCAAATCCAAAATGTGTCCTTTTTTAACATTTTTTATAAATGGCTTGCATTATTATATCTAAAATCTAATACAGTCTAAACAGTTTTGGGTGTAACCCCTTCTATAGAGAAAACATAACATTGAAAAGTATTTTTAATAAAGATGAACCTATAGCTTAGTTTCCCTTAATGTTCAGTGATTAAAAGAAAAGCATATCATTAACCGTATCAAAACTATGATTTTTCTCTATTTTTAGTCTGTAAATACATCAAACAACAGCGTATATTTTAATCTACTTCTTTTGAGTTTAATAAAACATCAGAGGGTTAGGCTAGATATACTTTGATTGATAAATGCAATAATCTTGTAATCCCTTCATTTTCTGTTGGATTCAACGTGTTTGTCTCCCTTGTATGTTATAGTCCTTTGAATAAAATATACGAATCAGTTAAACGTCAAAGAAATCTGCTCTGTACCAGCAGCAACAAAAAGCCTGATCTAAATATCCCCAAACAAGACACCTGGAAATCAGGTCAGAGCAAAAACAAAAAAGGGAAAAGCTAAAGATAGAGAGCAGCAGCCTATGAGACAGACGCTCCTCCTGCACACTGCCCCCTCCATAATGAACGGTGTCCTACCCCTGCACAGTCATTGCTCAGAATCCCTCAGCAGAGAGACTACAGGGAGCCTGGGATGAGACAAAGGGGAATGGTCACATTAATTACACACACTCTCTAGATGGCAGCTATCACCGGGGGCTAACAGAGGCAACGACAGAGATGGAGTGACAGCGAAAGATAGAAAAATGAAGACGATAATGCTTATAGAGTAGCCTATATGTCTCCAACGAGAGGGGGAGTGTTTGTCCTTAGCAGCAAGACGCCTGCCGGCTGCTGGGTTATGTCACTGTGTTACTAATGGGAGCTGAACCTCGAACACACACACTGAAGTCATCCTGTGTGTATTTGTCCACATGGTAGATGTCTTTGTGTTTAGGTGAGAGGGGGGGATTTGTACTATGAATTCATACATGCAAGACGGCGTGCATTGTTGCATAAGTGAGTGTCTATTGTCATGGGATGTTGTGTGTTTATTGGTATTTGTTTTTGAGCACGTACCCCTGGTAGTGTTTTCTGCTCATGGAGAGCGCTCTGGGCTTTCAGGGCCGACTCTCTTGCGCAGTACGTCAGAAACGCGCATCCTGTCAGAAAGAAAGAGGCAAACGGAGGGAGAAAGAGAGCAAAGGGGGTGGGGGGAGAGATTGGTACATAAGGTCAGTAAATTAGTCTTTTTTCTGCATCACTCCCCTTAGCAAACCATTAAAAAAATACTGTTACCTTTGTCAATTTTTTGCTAATTGTGCACGACAGACCATAGATAACAGTTTATAAACATGCAGCTAAAGAGATAAGATTATTATTGTAAGGTAGGGCAGAGATGGTCCATGGCACATTTCAGAAGGGTTTTGCATCAGAAAACATGACAGCTCCACAGACATATGTATGGCTACGTCTGTTCCCGCCCTGTACCAGCCCCTGTGAATGCTCCCAGCACACATTAATCTGTGGTGTACCTGAGTGCGAGGGAGGGGGGGTAGTCAAGCTGGCTTGCTGTTTACTACACCTGTCACCAGCACGTTAGACAACAAGATTAGCGGCAGGTTAGCATCCGCTCTGACATCTCGACATGTACTTACATAGAATCAGATTAAAGAATTTAATTCGCACAGAGCACAAATCTGAGGAATTTTTAGTGAATCACCAAAACACAAAAAGAAAAAGATGTGAAGACGAATTAAGACACTAGCAGAAATCCCCCCCACACACGGACCCTCATGAATCTTCAAGTCCATCTCATTGCTTTTAAGAGGGGCTTAGTGTGGCTGTGGGGATTCTCAAAACAACAAATTCTTTCCCTAGTGTCACCCGGGCTTACAGACCCATTACACTGATTGGAGTCCAGTCTAATCTGCTTCATGTAACGGAAAGGACCCCTGGTCCCTGTGTGTGCGGAAGGCTGTGTGTTTGTTTGTGTTAAAAATGAGGATATAACACAGAGATGGATGCTCTGAGAAATCAGTGGACAACTAGGACCGGAAGATTTCTAGCTTAACCATGCTGACCAGTGGGTGACCAGTTGGTACCTCAAATCCAAACTTTCTCTGATTAGTAAAGCGCAAATTCATCAAGCCATTGACTCAGCCATAACAATCTTCAGTCTGGAATTTGTAACCATGGGAAAAGACTCAAAGTTAGCTTTTTTCAGCACCACTGTGGAGCTTAAAATGCTGTCAGTACAATGAAAACAGCTGTAAGAAGCTAATTTAAAGGAAACTATCTTTTATGGATTAATAAGAGCTTTTTGAAGGAGCTTTAATTGTTGATAGCAATGTTTTTGTTCTCTGGCAGTTTTTGGAATCCCTGCCTTAGACTTTAATTTGAACTCGCCTTCAGAGAGGTTTCATCTGTTTTGTTTTTTGCAGATTAAGTTAACTCTGAACAAACTGCATATAAGAATATTATTCTAATATTAAATTTAAGAGGATAGTCTGAACTGTGCACTAATATTTTAATTAATAATGTGCTATAATGTGTAATGAGTCCCTACTATAATATTAGAATCAGGTTAAAAATATCAATTCTAAATCTTTTTGTCTTGCTATAAAATGCTAAAAATTTGTTCTATATTGAACTGCCCTCTGAAGGACAAAATGAAAAGTTGCCTCCACTCATTAAAGTATATGTTAAATTAAAGAATGATCACTATAAATATTGTGACTGCTGTTCATTCTGGTTCATGAAGAGAAATTAGAATAAGATCAAATCTGTTTTGGGCCAGTCAAAGCTTCAAAGCAACCTAAACTGTAGGGATGTCCCGACACAGCATTTTAATTTATGATACAATACAGATATTGAAGCTCTGAGAGGTGGCTGATTCCACTATTGGATACCCAACAGGATATCAGCACAAACCATACATACCTTTATTACTTACTTTGTAGCATGGAATGTTACGAAGGTCTTGATCAACATCATATGATGGTATTCAAACAGAAAATAATAATCAATAACTGGGTATAAACACAGCTGACTCATATAATATGAATCAGTTAAATTAACTTTAACAGATGTGGAATATTTCTATCAGCTTGCTTATATGAGAGATTTTAGATTCATGTCAATGTTTCCCAATACTAATTTTTTTTTAATCTGATGTCAGACTGATTTCCGATATCAATATCAGATCAGGACATCGACATCCCAAACAAAAATTAGCTAAAAATCTCTGACCACTGCATCTCTAAGATATATGATGTTTAATAGCATCTGAGGAAAAACTTAATTCCTAAAATTTACTAAAAATAAAAATCTGGGCTACTATTTGGTTGCCTGGTAGATTTAAATTCAAACTAATCTTTTTATTTGACCAATAAATACCCCAGAATCTAATATAAACAATTCGACCTCAATCTGATACCGAGTCTGTGGAGAGACCAAAAATTTGAATAATAGGAAGAAGGCCTTCCAAATCTATAAATACACCTACATATATCATGTTCTGTGATCTCGTTTTTGTGGGTTATTTGTATGAAAGGTTGCTTAAATGCAAAGATGGAAATCATCTTGTAATACTTTATTTTTTTGTGTGCATTCAAAACTGCTTCCTCAATCAAACAGCAAATATTAAATGTTCCTTTTTCCCATTCCAATCCCAAAAAAGAAAATAAAAAAACTTGAATGATTCAAAGTTAGAATCTGAAGGACAAACCTGATATAAAACTGGAAATCAGTAGTGAGACGGGTTAGTCAGTCACCTCCCTAGCAACTTCATTAATACATTTTTGTCAATCTTTCTGAATACGTTTTGCCATATAGATTATTCAGCAGAGCTTCATATAGGGATGGGTGATGGAAAGGTGGAACTATATCACAATAATTTGGGGGGTTTTGTTGGAATAAAGAAGAAAGTAGAAAAAATGGTTTTATACATTAATACCGGTCATCCCTGTCAATTACACAGTTAAACAGTACAAAATAAAAGTGTCATATCCTATTAAACAATAATAGTGCTCTTATGGAAACAGATATGGAAAGGAGAGATGGTCTGACACCAACCATAGTCATTTTTTTATTTTTTCATAGTTTATCAATAAGGGGCTGACCATTATTATTAAATTAGAATGACTCACATAATAACTTTTTTATTTAGGATATATTGTTGTACAATAACTGAACTTCCCTGACTCCATAGGCTGAGCTGGTGTTTCCTGACTGTCTTCACAATCTCACCCCCAGCGATAACGGAGAGGTGAAGCCACGAGTAGCTGTGACAGTTTCCATGGACAGAGGTATCTCTGACAGCTGCCTCAGAAAAATCTACCCATCATACTCCCTCTCCGTCACACATCTACCTATCCACCCTTCTGTTTGTCATGTCTGTCTCTCTACTTAAGCTCTGTTTACAGAAAGAGGATGAGACCTACCTTTGTGCATCCCAGTGTATTTATCCTTAATCACCGTGAGCTCGTAGATCTTGCCAAACTGCTCGAAAATGGGTTTGAGGTCCTTCTCCTCCAGATTCCGAGGAATCTGCCCCACGAACAACTTGATGGCGTCGGCTTCCTTCATGGGTACAAAGTGGAGGTGATGGCTGCTGGGGCTGAGGGTGGGGGTGAACAGATCAGGAGCAGGTATTTGTGGAGAGGAGCAGCTGTTGCTGGACAAGTCCTGATGGAAAAAGGCAGAAAACAAACAACTGATTTCAGACCTTAAATAAAGACTTCATTATGTTTTTAAAAGAGCAAAACTGTACCATCTATAAAAATATAGGTAATCAGTTGTTCCTTATATTCAAAATAGCATCAGTACATTTACTGCAAACAGATGTGTTGATGAAATATTATTGTTTTTTGTTGTTATGTGAATTTATTCCAGCAGTTTTTTTAAGAAACAAAAAAAAAAAAAAAAAAAAAATCCGAGCAGTAATTTTGAATATTTATTGCTCTGTCTGATGACAAAGGGCTCCAGCAGCTTCTGGGAAAACAATTATGCAAATGTTAATTAGCCAATCAAAAAAACAATAATGGCACTTTTCCCTCCAATTAAATATATATGAAAAGGAAAAGAAAAATTACCTTTTTTTTGGAGGGGGGTCGATGAACGGTGTTAGAGATTCCTGTTGACGGAAAAGGAGAGATAAAGGAGAGAAATTATTGCTCTGGAGCAGTTTCTTTGTTTAGGCAGCTGTCGGTTAGTGCATACACACGGATGTCATGGGGCTCCACTGCTCTTTGTCCGATCCCCTCTCAATGTACACACGCATATACATACAGACCCCCCCGGAACAAAACAACACATGGAGATACGCGGACTACTCAAACAGTAGCTCTTACCTTTAATCAATAACACTGATAGAGTGAGCGTGGAGCAGAAATGGATCGAGGATGCTCTCCGTTAGGTCCCCGTTGTTGTCCTCTCCTCTCCTCTCCGTCCGCCAGCCTCCTCTCTCTGGATGCTCAGCGCTCTTTGTGCCCAGCCGCGCGCCCCCTCCTCCTCCTACTACTCCTCCTCCTCCTCCTCGGTGTGTACAGATACTACTACAACCGACTCAACGTTGTTTGCGGGGTTTTGAAATTAGTATCTAAGTACACAAACTGACAAGCAAACCCCCTTCCTAAAAAAATGGTGTCCCTGGAGGGGACAGCTGGGTGCTTCTCAATGTAACCGACGGAGAGGAATTTGCTCTTAAAAGTTAACGGTTCTAGCTAGTTATTAGTTTTCATTTGTATTAGAAAACAAACAAACTGTCTCTTTAATTCATAACTCTTTGAACCTATTTCAGCAGTGACGGTATTGTTTGAGCGGACAGTTATTTATCTCAAGCTGTCCTTCTTACTTTCTGCCCAACGGTTCTCTATCTTCTCACGCCCTTCTGATGCCGGTGTCCCTCTGTCCCTCCGCTCTCTGTTGGCCCCTCCCCCTCATGTAACCATAGCTGCCGCTGGTTTCCTAGTGACGTAAATCCAAGGGACCGTCAATAAATATGTTCACGGAGCAAACATAAAATCACAGGGAAGCTTTTTTTTTTTTTTTTTTTTTTTTTCAATTACCGTATATCCCCTTAAAGGGGAACTTCGTTTTTTTTACATTGGGCCCTTGATTTTACATTATTACATCATGTTATACTCACCCATATACGTTTTGTTTCATTTGGAGCTGTTCTAAAGATATTCCGTTAGGTTATATCCAAGTAACGTCTTCCTATGGGCAGCAACTTGAAGGCACAACCTAAACTGTTCATAATTTATTCTTTATGGTAGGCCAGCATTCATAACATGTAGGCGAATCACTGTCCCCCAGACATCCGTTATATTTTTTATATTTATATGTTTATAACTGCAACGGAAACACTTTTTTCGTATCACACAGGTCAGGTAATCTGCAGCTGGACCTTACTACTACAGAAAAAATAGTTTAAAAGTGCAAATGTTGATTTGTTTCACATTGGTCTATGTACTTCAAGTGTTTATCTGTTCTTTTAAAAGATTATGTCTTTCAGCAAATTAAATTTTAGAATTGAACTTGTTCAGGAAAATAAAATGATATATCAGATAAATAAAGAATATTAGTATCACAAAAATACATCTTCATGTATTGTACAAGTTATGCTTTTATAGATGGTCAGGGGTTACTGCCTTGGTGTGACCTTCTCAGTCCACAAAGTGGCCTTCAGCTTGTCTGGATTGCTCGGTCTATTGTGTCTTTTCTTCCTCTAATACACTAGGCTACAGATTCTCTACATGGTTTAGGTCAAGTCAATCAAGCACAGCCACTACATGGCAATTCAAGCTTGTCTTACTACTTTTGGGGGGGTCATGCTTGTTTATAAATTCAGCATCTCTATCAAGTTTGTCACTAGAGGAAAGCACGGTTCGTATAAATGTCATTAGTATATTTAGAATTTAAAATTAAATAAAAGCCATCCTACAAATTCTAAAGCTTCCCAGATCACCCCTAACTGTGGACACTTCATAGTAGACCTCAACCAGTTCGAATTATGAGCTTCTCCTCTCTTCCTCCAGACGCAGAGACCTTAATTTCCAAATAGGGTAAAGAAAATACATTTAAAAAGAGAAGTTGAACCCATGGATGAGCCTATGGTCCAGTTCTAGCGCAGACTGGATTCATCTGGTTCCATGAGGCACTTCATGCTGTGTGTACCAAACCCTTAAAAGGAGATTTGCTTCACACCCATAGTATTGTTATTTTATTTTCTATGATCACATATATCACAGATAGATTTGTTGAATTTAATATCTATGGTATCTATGGTAATGCACTTTTTTATTTACCTATCGATATGTTCGTCTTTTTTGATTGTTATATTTCTCTTTTCATTTTAATAGCGTTCACTCGTGGGTTTAGTCGGTCCCTGGGAGACACGCTGGCGAAGCCGCCTATTGTTCTCCCAGCGAGCCCTGGCCTTGGTGCTGAAATGCAGATTCGGCGCGCAGCCGACGACGATCACGCAGTCACGACTGCTCCACAGCTGTTCACGCACAAGCCCCGAAATCACGCTCACACCGTCACAGAGCAAAGAGTGTGAATGAGGGTTCAGAGATAGCTCCGGGATGGAGGTGGCCTACTTTACACGCTGCACTTCGGAAAAAAAGGGAGACATTGAGCCATACTAGTGGTTTAGGCATGGGGGGGGGCATCCTTTAATATAAGATAGATAGATAGATAGATAGATAGATAGATAGATAGATGGATAGATAGATAGATAGATAGATAGATAGATAGATAGATAGATAGATAGATAGATAGATAGATAGATAGATAGATAGATAGATAGATAGATAGATAGATAGATAGATAGATAGATAGATAGATAGATAGATAGATAGATAGATAGATAGATAGATAGATAGATAGATAGATAGATAGATGGATAGATTTTTTAAGATTGTTACTGATTGTCTACCTCAACAATCATAGCCCAAGAAACAGGAGAGAAGGGAATTGCAAATATTCTGGCTAAGCTGCTTGGTGAATTTCCATAATCCACAGTAAAAAAAGAGAAAAAAAATCCATGTAAATGGCATGAAAGGTCAAACAGAATACCATGAAAAAACTTTTCATGCATTTCATTAGTTTTCTTCTGAATTACAAGCCACGACGCTAAACCTTGAGCACAGAGAAGTTGTTTGATTGGACAATAACCGTAAGGATAGTACCAAATTAGTTAAAAGTGGGTTAAAGACAAAAAGTCCAGATTTTGGACTATTACAAAACCCAGAACAGACTGATAGAAAACCTATAGGAAACAACTGAAATGGTCTACATGTGCAAAATGATTCAGTTATTGTCTAAGACCCTTCCAGTTTAGAAGGCAATTACATACAATATCAACAAAAAGTATGTAAACCCTTTAAGTTCTAAAAGAAATACACAAACATGATCTCTATTGTCAATCTAGCTTTTAATTTATCAAACTAATCGCAGTGAACCTAATTTATCTAAACTCTTATTGAAGGCATGCCAGTTATAAGAAAGGTTATCTGTATGTATATATATATATATATATATATATATATATATATATATATATATATATATATATATATATATATATATATATATATATATATATATATATATATATTAATTTATATATATATAAGTGCGTGCTTGTGTGTGTGTGTTTATGCATCCGTGTGTTTATTTTCATTTACATGTGAGTGTGCATTCAGACAAATGCAAAATCCACATTATAAAGTGTACTTATCTTTATGTAAGAGGTAAGAGTAAATATATGTTTTCTATTACAGAAAAACTAGATGTAAATATTATTATAGCTAGAAAAGACAGTGAACACCTCAGATAAAATCTTACAGACTACATAAAAATTGTCACTAACCAAGAATCCTCCTTTGTGCATTCTAGTTTTTAAAACATAAATAGTCTTTTTACCAGATCAAAAACCATCTTTAACTCATCTGAAGCAGTAAAACAAAAACAACAGAACAAGACAAGACAGACAAAATAGAAATTTCAAGTCCACTTTTAACAAATCCTAAATAAAGAAATAGATTATACCTTAACAAGCATTGGCAGCACAAAGAAAAATAAAAAGGGCAAAGGGGGTTACAAGCAAAAAAAAGGGAAATAAAGCAAAACCCGCAGTTAAATGTTCAATATATGGTAAATATTTAAAACCATAATAGTTCAAATTCACATCTATTCAGGCAACAGAGCAAACATTTACACGGTCAAAATATCCTAATTTTATTCCATCAGTTTTTAACAGAAGTCATCATATGGCAACACTTTAGATGTTTTTCACTGGATATAAAAATGTTCTTCATTTGAAACATCCTATTTCCTAGTTTCTTGACATTTCCAACTCCACTCTACAAGAACCCAGTGTTTGCAGAAAACACACCAACAACAAATCCTGTTTCCTATCTTTGATATGTGTGTGTCTCAGAGAGAGAGAGACAGAGAGAGAGGGTTCACTAGGTTCATGTTAATGTATTGCTAAAAGGTCACCATCTGCTGGCCTCACCTCCTTCCCTCTGTGAGCCTCTGTCCTCCAACATATAGGCCTAAACACCACACATGCAGTCTTTCATGTATAAATCACATCGCAAGGGGCAACCCATGAACCAAACACCCAGCGGAGCTACGATGCAACGCCTGCTGAGGGCAGAGGACTGGACGGGCTTTCGCCGGCAGCAGGCTGCACGCAACCAAACCTGTTAAGCCTCCCTGCATGATGGGAAATATGAAACGACAACTCACGCAAGTCTGTGTCACCAAGAGGGGAGAAGAAAGCTTAAACAGCCTCTCCCTTTAGCCAGTGCTGAGACTGTAGGGGTTGAAACATTTGAGCAGCTTTTGGTCGATGTATTGATAATTGGTTTAAATTATAAAAAAAGAAGAAAAAATCTAAAGGGGAATTAATTGAAAAATTCAAAACAGAAGATATGTGTATGTTTAAAGGAAAGAGTTAAATCTGGATGAGGTATTTTTATCTAAAATAAAAAGACCTAACTTTAATTATAATACAACTACTCATCATGTAGATAATCTGATCCCTAAGAGTTGTTTTGTATTTTAGCTTTAAATAAATTAACATTAGACATAACCTGATCTATCCATCTGCCGCTGATCCATCAGGGTCACTGTGGGGCTGCTGCGTATCTCCAGCAGCCCTTCGGCAAAAGGCAGGGTACACCCTGGGCAGGTTACCATGCTATAGCAGAGACAATAACGTGAGTGAAAAACAATTAGTTGATTAAGTAATTAATCAGTCAAGGAGAAAAGGAGTTATTCAGAAATTCTGACCCTATAAGAAAAAAACAAACAATAAGTCATGATTTGATAAAACCAGATTTGTTTTTTGAAAGCTGAGATTAAAATGACAACCCTCATCCCCACTTAGGCCTGAATAATGACAGACCTGGGAAATCAGAACTATCCTTCAAGGGAACCTTGTAAAGATCAGAAAGCAACATATCAAGCCCAAATCTAAGGAAATTCAAGAGAAGAC